CAACCATAAAATTATTTTCGTTACTACTTCCTAACTGTCATTTTGCTACTGTTATGACTCGGGCGTTGCGACCCACAGGTTGAGAACCACTGCTCTAAGACATAGAATTGCCCCTGCAGGTTTTCAAGGTTGTGAGTCTCTGCAAAAGCAGACCGGCCCCATTGTTCTCCTGCGGAGCTGCTGGTTGGTTCAACCCTCTAATCTTTCGGCCAGTCTCAGAGCTCTCACCGCTGGGCTAGCAGGTGTCCCTGTGTGCCACCAGTGACATGGACTGCGCTCCTCCTGCTGCAGCGAGTGCCTGAAGAGGCGGACAGGAGGCCCGTTGGTTGGTTTCACCGATAGCCTCTTTCTCCGCTGGGCAGGAGCAGTTCCTCCTTAGCTCTGTGGCCTGTAGCGATGGGGTTTACAGTCCCCATAGCCACTGGTGGAGACAGGGCCTCATGTCCACAGAGCTCAGCCGAGGCGAGTGGGGTGCAGGGGTTCACTGTAGGTCTCCAGCCTTGTGCAAGACAGACCTGTGCTGTCCTCTGGGGGCCGCCCGGTGAGCAGGTCCGCTATAGCTGGCTGGCTGCCAGCAAAGGCTTCTCTATCTTATCTCGGGGCTGCATTCTGACTCCTGTTAACAGCCCTAAGTGGGCAGAGGAGGGACTTTCCCAAGTCTGTGATAAAGCACGCAGCCCCTCCCTCTGGGGCCTTGGCAGGGAGTGCCTGGCAGGTACGCACCATCCAGGGCACTGGCAGAGCCCTGGGCTGCTCCCCTCCCGTGGAGCCGAGCCTTCAGTCCGGCAGCCACTCGCCACACGTCCTGAGTGAGCATGATGTGTCTGATCCCACACTGTGAAGTCGCAATATTGGGATATATTGATTGGGGCAAGCAACACATTATAAAACCAATTTTCCTTTTGTTTTTTTTTTTTTTTAATGCGGCAACTACTGTTGGAAGGTGCTGCCAAGTCGGTCTGGCTCCCGGCAACCTCACGCGTCGGGGTCCAGAGTAGCACTGCGCTGTCAGTTTTCAGGGCTGTGGCATCTCATCTCTCAAGACAGTCCTGGGTGGGTCGAACCCACCGCCCTTCCCCATGGCCAGCACTTCACCCTTTGGGCCATTCTCTAGGTGGCTCACATTATCTTTCCACTGGACAGCACCACCCTGCGTGGACCACAGTCCCTGCCACACAAGGGGCAAACTCCCCAGTGCCATCCAGTTGGTCCCATCCAGTTGATTCCGACTCAGGAATAGTCAACATCCAGTTGATTCCGACTCAGGAATA